CATTGATGGACTCAAGTGTGGCAGCGGTAGTGAGGTTGGCCCAGGATCAGACATTGTTTCGTTCTGCTGTGCATGGGGTCGCTATGAGTCGGTCTCGACTCGATGGCACCTGACAACAACAACAGGGGGCAGACACACATTGACATGGGTGACAAGACAGGCAATATACAGCCCGAGGGAGATTGGCAGAAAATGCTGTTGGCATGGAGGGGAGAGATTGTAACCATGTACTGAAGCAAAGCAGCTGCTTTGTTGAATGTGAAACTATGATCTGCTCTGTAAACCTTCACTCAAGTCACAATAAAAAGTAAAAAATAAAATAAAATAAAAAAGAAATGGTGGCAAAGCTCCATAATATCAGCCAAACAAGGTCAGGGACAGACTGTAGGGCAGACTGAGGGGCAGACCATCAAGTGCTCATATGCAAGTTCAGGCTGAAGCTGAAGAAAATTAAAACAAGTCCACAATGGAGCCAAATATGACCTTGAACATATCCCACCTGAATTTAGAGGTTATCTCAAGTACAGATTTGATGCATTAGACATTAATGATCAAAACCAGAAGAGTTGTGGGATGACATCAAGACAACATCATACAGGACGAAACCAAAAGGCCATTAAGAAGGAAGAAGAAAATACCAAAATGGATGTCAGAGGTACATATGATCAAGAGCCAATGAATGATAATTGAAGAAGTCCAAGATGGACTGAACGCACTAGGAATTGATGGAATACAAATTGAAATCTTTCATCAAACTGATACAGCACTAAAGGCACTCACCAGATTCAGATGAGGACAAGGAATGAGGGGTATCATTGTTGACATCAGATGGATCTTGGCTGAAAGCAGCGAACACCAGAAAAATGGTTCCCTGTGTTTTATTGACTTTTGCAAAGGCTTTTGACTGTGTAGATCATGACAAGCTATGAACAACACTGCAGAGAAAGAGCATCCCAGAACACTAAACTGTACATAGACCAAGAAGCAATCGTTTGAATAGAACAAGGGGACACGGAAGGGTTTAAAATTAGGAAAGGTGTGTGGCAGGGTTGTAGTCTTTCACCAGATGGATTCAACACTCATGGAAGCAGCAGCCAAGAAATCAAACGACAAACTGCATTAGGCAAATCTGCTGCATAAGACCGCTTGAAAGTGTTCAAGACAAAAATGTCAGTTTGAGGACTAACGTACAACTGACCCCAACCATGGTATTTTCAGTAGCCTCATGTGCATGTGAAAGTTGGACAGTGAATAATGATGACTGTAGACGAACTGATGCACTGAGTTCTGGTGTTAAGTACGAATTTTAAAGGTACCAGAAACTGCTAGAAGAACAAATAAATCTGTGTTGGAAGAAGTACAACCCGAATGCTCCTTAGAAGCCAGGATGGTCAGACTTCATCTCTCCTATTTTGGACATGTTATTAGAAGTGACCAGACCCTGGAGAAGGCATTTTTCTTGGTAAAGTGGAAGGTCAGTGAAAAGGATTATTAGCACAGTGCCTGCAACAATGGACTCAAGTATAGCAGCAGCTGTGAGGTTGGCACAGGGCCAGGCGGTGGTGTTCATCAGGTCACAAGTGACTGGACAGCTCCTGACAACAACCTAACTGGAGTTCTAGTTCTTACATGCAGGTGTGTTCCAAACAAAACCTGTTTAAACATGTGTCTGTGATCAGTGGACGGCTGCAGATGAACTCTTTCAGCACTACACTTGTCTCAGTCTCGTTTAGCATGCCTTCAAGAGAGATCTGCTGCCGGTTCAACTCAAGGTAGAGAGGTCCGTTCAGAGCTAGCGACTCAAAGAGATCATCTTGACAGGACACAGGATGATCATGGGGCTTATTGGAATATAAGTGTTTTTTTTTGGGGGGGGATGCACACAAAAACACTCAGGAATATATGATCAATTAAACAACCAACGGGCACATTCTGCAAGCCTTCCTCCTGGCCACAAGCACACCGCCTTTCTCTTTCCATTGAGTCTAGAGTCCTCATCTCTGCCTCTGCACATTCTGAAACTAAACTCCCTCTTGAAAACTTGAAAGCCAGTCACTTCATGCCTTTATAGCCCCCACCCGTCCCACCATTTTAGGTAGCCAATGTCAAAGTTGCCTGTCCCTATCTACCTCGTATACAGAGGGGATAGGATTCCCTCTCTGTTGGTATTTTGAGCTACTACATCCATGAGTATAGGTCACGTTCATCAAATTGTAGCAATTTACCCTTGTTTCCTTTATCAAAAATTGTTTCTTTTTTAAATCTTCCTGTAGTTGAGTTCTGATTATCAAACCATCAAGTCTAGGTCAAATGGGTACTATCTGAAAGTTTGGGTGTTCTTGTGCATCTCCTCTCACTTCATATCAGCTGGACACTTCACTCTTAGCTCTAGCCCTCCGTGGCTATGTCTTTTGTCCATGGGCTCAGGTGTCCCCAGGTCTCACCACACTTTGGACCAACCAGTCCTTCCTCTTCTCTCATCTCCAGGTCTACAGGAGTCTATGAATGTGGTCGAACTCAGCCCATTTTTTTCATTGCTGCCTTTCCCACTCTTCCACTCACCAGTAGACCAATGTGCTCACCAACAAGCTTACATGCCTGTTCACGTGTTCCCTTTGAGTTTCAGTCTTGGAGGGGGATTGTCCTGAAGGGACTCGATTGCTTGCCTTGATGGCTCCCCTGTGAACAACTTGCTTGTTCTTGTAGTAGCCAATCAGACTGCCATTTTTGTTTTGGATTTTTCCTGCTGGTCTCTCAAGAAATATCTTCTGTCGCTCGAGCTATTCCAGGCTGGTCTGCTTGTCCTTTCAAGTGGGAATGTCCCGCTTCAGAAGGTTCTGGAGGGGGCTCTGGATTCCACCTAAGGTCCTATACACTGCAAAGGCTCCACAAGAAGCCTATGTCACTGGACAAGTTCTAGAACCCCTTTTAGGTACAGAATAACTTTGAAGACAAGAAAAAACTGCATTGGAAAGAAAATGGTCAGGAACCCCTGTCAAGGGATCTTCCTCATCACGATAGTGAGCCTGCTCATTCCTCGAACGCATCGGCCGGAGGGAGCCCTCACTCCAGCCATCGACAGCCCTGACCTTGCCCTTCAGCCTCCTTTGGTTCCCACAACTCCAAGAACACTGAAAAGGAATACCATTTGAGTCCCTTGAGGATGTTCTGATGTGGAGTAAACAGAAGAGGGCAAAATTCTTTGGGGAAGGGTTAGAGATTGAAACACCACCTCCCCATTCTGTGACTGTGTCTAACTGAGTGTTCCCTATGATTCTGTAGTAGACTTCTGACAGAGGCTATATGTCCCTGACAAGTGACCCAGAGAGAAAAGTGTACTCCCACTGCCGAGACAGTGCCGACAGCAACGACACCCTCTCCTCCCCACCAGAAGATTCTTGACACTAGGCAAGGGTAATCTGGGGACACAAGATCAGGACATGAGCCAGCAACGGACAGCTAAGGAGGCAGAAGTGGGGCGAATGGTCCAGAGGTACAGACATGGGAGCCAGGGAAGGTAGGAGCAAGGACTGCAAAAAGGTGACAGGCCCAAAACCTGCACATCACGAGATGACACCCCTGAAGTACCGACATCTTATGAATGACAAAGCTCGTGCCAAACAAACAACCCTGTACGGCAGAGGATCAAACACGAGGGTACAGAAAACAGCAGAGCTGAGGCCTCACTCACATGATAGAACTCGGAAGAACTGACAGGACAGCCCTCCTCAAAGACCCAAGGACATGTGGACAGCTGCCATGCGACCATAGCCCTCCTGACAGCGGTCCAGAAAGCCTGGCCAGACAGGAAGTACACAGCTAGAGGAGCAGATGGCTGGGGACGGAGAGGAAGTCCAGAAACAGATCCAGCACCAGTGATGTGGGCAACGTCTCACTATGGCAGAGATGAACTAAGCTCACACCGTCCTCACACCATGTACAACACATGTTCTACACGGGCCAGACAGCAGTGCCAGCATGCTTGTAACTCCTGGGATGGGCATGGAGCTACGGGAATGTCCCCAGCAGTAGGGGGTGGGGCCAGGCCTGGGTGCTCGTCTGTATTTCTCAGCTCTGGACTAAGTCTCTCCTTTGGGGGCCCTGGGTGGGGTGATGAGGTACCTGTGTTCACACCCTGGCCTGAAGGCGGTAGGCTGCCAGCGTGCATATAACTCAGCCCTCCCTTTCAACTCTTCTACCATTAACTGAGGAGCTCTGGTAGCGTAGTGGTCACAAATCGGTTTGCTAACCTCAGGGTCAGCAGTTCGAAACTACCAACCGCTCCGCGGGAGAAAGATGAGGCTTTCTGCTCCCGTAAAGATTTACAGCCTTGGAAACCCTGTACAGGGTCGCTGTGAGTCGGAACCAACTCCATGGCACACAACAACAATGCTAACTGCCCCAGCCCGGGGTGCAGCCCGGAGGAGTGAGGGAAGCGAGCCTTTCTTTGGCCTGAGAAACAAATGGGGGTGTTTTCCAGGACGGGGCGAGGGTGATGCTGTGAGAAAGATGCAGTTACTGGGCACGTGGGGAAAGCCGAGGCCACCTGCTTCTGTGTAAGGGCTGAAGCCGGGGACAGGCTCTGGGAGTTCTATAATGCCACCACAAGTTGGCTGTGACTGGCTGGCAGTGAGTTCGATTTAAGTGGATTGTACATCTCTACCTCAGACCTCTTGGAAGCGTTAAAGAGCAAAGATGTCAGTCTGAGGACCAGAGTGATATATATGTATGTGCCAGTTGGACTGTGAATAAAGAAGGCCGGAGAGAAACTGATGCATTTGAATCATGGTGTTGATGAAGAATACTGAAAGGAATGTGGACTGCTAAAAGGCAGAACAAATCTATCTTGGAAGAAGTGCAACCAGAATGCTCCTAGAAGCCAGGATGGCATGATTTTATCACTCCTACTTTGGACATGTTGTCCCCAACAAGGACATCATGCCGGGTAAAGTGGACATTCCCCCAGATGAGATGAACTGGCTTGGTGGCACTGGCAGGGGAATGAAAATGCCAGTTCTGAGGATGTCACAGGTTCTACTGTGTACAGGGTCACTACGGGTCAGAGCTAACTTGACGGCGTCTGATAACCACCACCACCCTCTGAGATGACACCTGTGGACAGGTACAGACACCCAGCCTGCTGCCCTTGAGCACTTGTGTAGACTCGGAAACTAGCACGGTCCTTGTTCCTGTCCCTGCAAAAGTGATTTCTAAAAACAGGCAGCCACCTGAGGGCAAGGAGAGCTGACTCAATTCTAGACGATTCCTCAAGCTGGACGATCTTTCTGTCAGCATGGAAGGCTTCTGTGGTTATTTTAAAAAGACTAGACTTGAGGTGTCTGGGAAGGACACACAGACAGGCAGCACCCGTGAGAAGCAGGCCTCCCTGGCCACGTGTGTGGATGTGACAGAGGAGCCCCCGCCCAAGCCTCACGTGTGTGGCCTTTCATCACTGAAGCAGAACCAGAGCACACGCAGCATGTCCTAGGGCTGCCCCTTGGGCCTTGTGGGCTCTGAGCCCCTCTCCAGAGTGGGCCTTACGGTGTGTCTCGGACGTCCCTGGTGATGCGGTAGTTCCAGTCTCGGAAAACCTCGTTCTCTTTATCAAACTCCCGGTCATCTTCACCGATGCTCATCGTGAATCTCTTCTCCTCAAAGTCAGGCTCCTGCTCTTTTCGAATGGTGGCTTTTTTTAAAACCTGCCGTCGTGAGAAGAAATACCAACCAACATGGAGCCAAACCATGGCAGTCACTATGAAGAGGGACCAACAGAGCCTCGGCAGCCCCTGGGAACTCCCCTCAGAGCCACCACCACCACGTACACAAGGGTCGAGGTCACGTCACTTCCTATAGCCTTGGACTGGAGCCCAGGCCCCAAGTGTCCACTCAGCATCAAGTCCCAGATGCCTCGCTGCAGGGATGTGGAGGGAAGGGCCTAGGAAGCCCATCAGGCCCAGAAAAGGAAGACATGGCCGTGTGGACTGAGGGCACGAGGAAGAAAAGCCCGATTGGAGGAGTTTGGTTCTCATGGACTCCTGCTACAGGGCACCCCCAGAGACTGATCCAGTGTGAGATGTGGAGGGCTCAGGAGAGGGGGGCCACAGGCCTCCCACGACAGATCAGCATGGGGGGGAGCCCAGCAGAGAGCCCCGGGCCTCCCATGACAGACCACTGTGTGAGGGTGCTCACGGGCCTCCCATGACAGACGAGCGTCGGGGTGGGGGTGGCGTGTGCTCTCTGAGAAGCTCCAAGGCCAAGGCTGTATCTGGCTGCACCTGGGCACCAGGCAGACCTCCTTTCCCCTCTCCTTCACCCTGAGGCCTGCTGGCTCCCCGCACCCTGTGCAAGGGCCCTTCTTGGTGTTACCTCCTTTGCGTGCCGGAGCCCTCGCTCCCAGGCGCTCTCTGTCGGAGGTTCCGGTGGGGGTGGAGGCAGAATTTCATCAACTACCGGCCCACCCTGTTGAAAAAATGGGAAAGGGAAAGATAGTAAAGACACAAAACATCCGAATCATCAACGAAACAAGGCAACATCCCTCCACAGACATGTCGTCAGAGGGCCAAGTGCCGCTGCGCCCACCCGAGCCTCAGCTGCCCAGACACAGTCTCCCCGGGTCTGGGGTGATCTTCTCCAGAGACTCCAGCCACAAACCCCTTTACACAAGGCCAACTATTTGCTGTCGGCTTCAAACGCACAAGGGGCTGGGATCCTGACTTGGTCACAATCAAGGCAAAGCTCACGCACCCAAGGGTTGGCGGGCATCAGAGGGTGTGGTCCAAGAGGCGGGGCACCGTTGGGCGGGAAGGGCTCGGCTTTGGTGATCAGGGAGTAGTTGCCCTTGTCGTTCACGCCGGGGTGGACAAACCTGCAGCTCATCCCCCAGGTACAGTTCCCTGTGGAGAGTCAACTGTCAGTGGGGGCACTGTCCCCCTGCCGGCCACCCGCAGGCAGGACTTAGGACCGCTGATGTACAGGCAGTGTGCTAGGCACTTCCATCCCATGGCAAACAAGCTCTAGCAGCCAGTATGGTGGGAGGTCCTGCCATAGCATGTCCTAGGTGAGGGGAGGAGCCGTCCTCCAGGGCCTGGAAACAGCCACTGCTTCAGAGTCACCAGCAGAGGACAGACCCTCCTCAGGGCAACAGCACCGCTCACACTGGAGAGAGGTGCCCAAAGCTCAGAACTGTGTGCACCCATCCCAGGGTGATCTCTACCCACTTTCTAAGTTCATATCTCTCTGATCCTAAATTTCACACCATCTCAGGGGATCCCTACTGCTTAAATACAAGTTGAAGAGAAAACACAGTCGGAGCAATGATAAATCTCGCTGCTCAACTTGACTCGCCCATAGCGATCAAATCGTTCTTTTAGTAACACTCGGGGCTGCGGGAGACAGCGGACTGCCCGAGGGAGTGGAGGAAACAGGTTCCACTGAACTAGTGGTGGCACCATGATTTCCTTTTTAAAGGGCAACATTCATACATTTGGCAAACAAAGCAGTTCCAAAAAACGTCTTCACTGTGTTAATTTATAGCTAAACTTGAAACTGTATGTTAGTATGTTTTCAATCCTTTACGTACCTGCCCACAAATCATGTTTTTCACACTCAGTATTTAGAAGGAAGCCAACTGTTAGCTTTAAACACAATGGGTACTTAAGTTTCTATTAAAATGAACTTTGAATCCAACATAACAGATTGATTTCAGTTAAATACTAAAGGATGTAGGCTTAGACTTGCTTTCTGTCTGACAGAATAAAAATTTAAAATTCCTACGAAGGCTCGAGAGATCAGGGACTCTAAGTTTCAGAGTCTCAGAGAGGTTTAAAGTCGCCGTGCATTGGAAGAAACGAGTTCCCAACGCCTCTCCCTTCTCCCTGACCAGGCGCCCCCACATCACTAACGCTGTAAGACCTCCCCTGGGGACAGGAGAAGGTCATCGCAATAGGCCACAACATTTCTGTCACTTTAACCTAAAGTATGTCATCTGGAAGGTGGTATGTGTTTCTTACTCTGCATTTTAAAAAAACCCAAAACCAAACCATCATCTCTGACCCCGTGTGTCAGGGTTATAGAATAAGACCGATGGGGAACCACCACAGACAGAGCCAGGAAGGAAGGAGAGGGCAGATGAGTAAGTGTGTCCCAGAGCTGGTGACAGGTAGCGCTCCTGGCTGACCACATGCTGGAGTTCTGGGCCACCACGGGGACAAGTGACAATGAGGCACAAAGAAGAGCACTTGTCACCCTGCCTTTAGAAACCTGAACGTTTACTGTGACCGTTGGGATAGTGGAGAAATACTTCAGCCTTTGATTTTCTTTATGTTCTGTCTCAACTTACTGCGGAAACGGAAAAACAAATCAAAGCAAAAATAAACTTCTTCTCGTTTCAAAGGGGGGTGGCAGCGAAGCTCCAAGAGCCGAGGGTGTGGTCGCTTCTGACAGTGACGACACGACTGTCTGTGTAGGGTGCTCGCTAGCAGAGGACCTGGAGACGCAGAGAGTCATCGCCAACGTCTCCTAACTTCTCAGTGGGTTTGGGGGGAACACACGGCACTGATGATATTCTACTCCTGAGCTGGGTGGTGGGTACATCAACAACTGCTGTACTATTTATATTATTCTGTACATGACCGATTTCATTACAAAACACATTTTAAATGGGACACCAATAAGGATCCCAGCACTATAAAAGAGAAGTCTCCCTCCTACCCCACTCCCAGAGAGCCAGCAGACAGACGTAGTCACTGATTCCCTGGAGTTGGAGGGATCGATGATCAATCAACCCTAAATCCCCCCTGGGCACTCAACAGTTGTTCCAGGAGAAAGACAACTGCATGGTGGACGGCGACAGAAGCCAGACCTCACGGCTGAAGCTGGTACGGGACCTTCAGCAGAGACTGAGGCGGCGAGTACCCAGCCGCAGGGAGCTGCCTCTGCTCAGTGTCCTAGTCCCTGCACAGTTAGGTTCTGTGAGCGCACCAGGTCCAGAGCCACGTCTCTGGGCAGCCTCGGCATGTGTGCTGTCCTGTCACTGTCTGCCGGGACAAACCAAACACCACTCTACTTTCCACAGAGACTTTGTGACAAAGTGGCCTTTGTTGTTGTTAAGTACCGTGGAGTTTCAGAGGCTGTAAGTCTTTACGGGAGCAGAAAGCCTCATCTTTCTCCTGTGGAATGGCTGGTAGTTTCAAACCGCTGACCTTGAGGTTTGTAGCCTGATCTGTAACCACTACGCTACCAGAGCTCCTTAGTCATACGTAAAATAAGTTCTCCTGTTACTCGGAGTAACTTCTTGTTGCTATGTGTGGCGGAGTGGGTTCTACTCATAGTGACCCTGCACAGGGTTTCCAAGGCTATAAATCTTTCCGGGAGCAGAAAGCCTCATCTTTCTCCCACGGAACAGCTGATAGTTTCAAACTGCCGACCTTGAGGTTCGTAGCCCGATTCATAATCGCTACGCTACCAGAGCTCCTTAGTCACACATAAAATAAGCTCTCCTATTACTCAGAGTAACTTAGGAGAGGCCACAGACACAGCGTGTCACTGAGACCAGTGAAGTGCAGCCCACTAAGGCACTACCGACACAACATACAGCACCTGAGCGATTCCGTTTTCCGTCTTAGTTTGATGCACTCACTTCCTTTCAGGGATGGCTCCTCAGGGCAGCCAATGGAAGGAAGATCACTTCTTGGCAGCCTCTTTGTTAAGTTATGTGTACTTGAAGTACATGTTTTTTCATTTAACTTTGTGGTCCCAGGCCCCACAGTGCCTTTGTCAACATGAGTTATGCCTACTGATAGTCCCTGTATTAGAAAGGGAAGCGGAGAAATTGGAACGGTACTTTACTATTTGAAGCAATACGTACCTGAGTACAAGGGGACTTCAAAAGGTTTGTGGAAAAATGAAATTCTCAAAGGAATGTTCTGAAGCCCCCTTGTACCTGATGAGATATAACATTTAAAAAAATTTGGAGGAAGAGGATATGATATGACCTATCTACTTCTGATTCCATCGGTGGTGAGGGCTGATTCTATTCAAGTACGTGAAGAAGACCTGCCTCCAGACAAGCAGAGAGCCAAGAAAGGGGAGAGAACATTAATACTCTCCAGACTGGACCTCTTCCTTTGTCATATCAACCCTGACAAGGCTTCTTGAGGTCAGAGACCGTGCGGTCTGTCCTTTGGTGTTTCAGAGTTCTAGTGCCCTGAGGTCCACTGGTCTACCTTTGAGTGGACCTTTGCTCAGGGATGACTTTGTAACACCATGCAATAATGGTGTGGAAAATATCTGGAAAACAAGAATTGGGAAGCTGCCAAGCTCACTGTGGTAGATACACGTTTGAGAAGGTGAATATTACCGTGAGTCAGAGACAGCCAGTCATGCTCCTCGGAGGGGCAGGCTCACCACGCCTGGTCATGAGACACACCGGTCAAGTACAGTGTTCTCTGAGACAGCATGGCCCAGCTCGCTGCTGGGATAGTGCCTCACAGGCAATATTTCCAAACGACTGAGCATGCTGTTCGTCACAGTGAGCGCAGCAAGATGTGCACCGAGGGGCTGCACAACTCAGCACATTTATTGAAAATCATTAAAATGGATGAACTTTAGGCACATGAATTTATACACCAATGACGTGTTTAAAAATTAAGCAACTGAAGGTTTTAAGATTTCATTAGATCACAGTTCTTTCCTCATCATGAAGGATGAGATGCAGGACAGAATGTCAGATCTTTAGACTGCAGGCTTTCTGGAGCCACGGAGGCTGGGTGAATCTCAAAACTATTGTCATCTTTACCCTAAACCAGAAACAGGCCCTGAAATCTTATTAAAACTAAACAGGTCTGTTTCACTTGTAAAGAAGGTCTGCCGTGAGCACTGAGTTCTCTTTGGGAACGTCTCCATGGGGACGGCAGCACTCCAAGGCTAACACAGGACTCCGGGAGCAGGGAGCACACGGTAATGTGGGCAAGAGAGACTGCACCCAGGGCCGCTACACTGGAACCTGAAGAAAATTGCTCGGGTTGTCCCAAGCAGCAACAAAAATAAATGCCAACAAATCCCTAATCCTCACTGCTGTCCCAAGACCATGCGTCTACGAATCTGGCTAGCAGCAGGCACATGACTACCAGTACAGTCTTAACATACAGGTGAAAGGTGCGCTCAGGGAACCCCCCATGGGTGCAGAAGCCACAGTGTGAGAAAGCAGCAAGCCCCCCGGAGACCTGACACATGCGTGAGCTGATACAGACTACAGCCAGGGCTGAAGCCCGACAAGCTTCAAGAGAATACGGCTCCTTTGCAGATGCAATCATGTGTCTTGACAATTTAACATAAATACACATAAGGAAGAAATACACCATAAACAAAGTACTGGGGCCTTGGAAATGGAGTCTGTATGTGCTGGGAACACATTCGGGTTGATGTCACAGGGGTCATCTCCAGACTACACTGTGTGATGCAGCCGACTGTGTAAATCACAAAGCCCAAAGTCCAGCCTTTTACGGTGCACGCATCAACCATGTTCAGTGTTCCCACTCTCTGACTTCAGAGTTCTCTCATCATCCCATTAGCAGTCACTCCCCACTGCGCCTCTCCCAAGATTCTGACAGTCAGGACTCTGGCTTCTGTCTCAGTGGACTGGCCTATAGTGGACATGGCACGGTCCATCGTCTTTCTTTCACTCAGCATCGTTGATGCTCCGGGCTGTTTCTGCGTCTGGGTGCTTATGACTCCAGCTGCCACAGACACTTGTGTACAAGCGCATGGGGCACGCAGCTTCGTTTTGCTGGGACTCAGACTACTAGGTATGAAGTACTGGAGCATAAGGTCACCTTCTGTTTAACTTTCGGAGGAACTGCTGACTTTTCCCTGCGGATGCGCCATATTATACGTCCACCAGCAGTGGGGGGGGGGGGGGTCCCAATCTCTCCACTTCCTCACCAACTCAGTACACGCCATTTTAATTTGAGAACTTCTCTGGTTATTTGAAGAGGTGGCTCAGCAGTTACAATGCTTGACTGCAACCACAAAGTGGGCAGTTTGAATTCACCAGCTGCTCACAGGAGGACTAGGTGGGCTGCTACGGTACACAGTGACCCTATGAGAAGCCCTTGAGCCTCACAGGGCTGCTGGGAGTTGGTACCAACTTCACAGCAGTGGGTTTGGCTCTCAGAGGAAACAAATTGATCTCAATATGACACTAAGATTACAAATTGCAGGTAAGAAAAAAAAAAAAAAAAAACGCAAAACCCCAGAACATCCAAATGGATATCCCCTAACTAATGGACAGAGATGACAAGTTCTAGACTTGTCTAAACTGCGTCAGCGGCTCCTCTGCAGAGTGGGGCACATAATGAGAGGAAAAGACGTCCAGAGACCAACACTGTTTCCTCCCGATCTCTACGGTCACCATTCCCTCGGGCAGCACTTAGTACAGGGGTCCCCATCCCACTGCTCACCCACGGAGGCCTTGCCCACCACCAGGCCCTTAGAGCTTCTGGTAATGAGTAAATTGCTGCGTACCCACACAAGGCTCTGGCCAGCCAGGGAGCACTGCTGCTTCCTAAGAGGCCCTATGCTCGCGACCACACTGCCACCAGAGACCAGGAACACACACACACACAACACACACACACAACACAACACACACACGCATCACCCTCATCACTTGAGTTATGTAACATGGCCAACTCCATTTTTTCTCATATTGTTAGAGAAAAAAAGTCTTCTGCTAAGTTTAAAACATCTGAATTTGGACCCTTCAAACACCGAATAAAGGAGACAAATCAAACACCACTGCCACTGAGTTGATTTCAACTCCTAGCAACCCTGTGTACTATGTCCTAGTCCTCCGTACTAACAGGATCATGAGACCTCCATCTTTACCAGAGCAGTCTTCCTCCCATGGAGTGGTTGATAGGTTCGAACTGCCAACCTTCTGGTTAGCAGTCCAGCACCTGAACCACAATGCTACCAGGGCTCCTTCTTCAAATGTCAGGGCTTTAAAGAAAGGGAATGTTTCACTTTCTAAACCAGACTGCGTGTCGAGTGGCTGTACCACTGGGCATCAACACCCACTCTCCCCAGCTGCGGGGGCAGGGGGCAGTTCAGTGGAGTATACTGGACATGCACATTTACAGGCAAGTCCACAGCCTTTTCCTTTCACTAACCACCACCATCATGGACGCTGCCCTCTTCCCTCGAGCACACATCCAGCAGGGTGAGCATGAGGCCCATAGTCCCTGGCTCCCCCTAGCCCTTGTCAAGAGTCATCACTTAGCAAAACTGACCGGGCTGTTCTGGGTGCGGAACCACTGCGTCCCACCTCCTGCCCCTCCTAGGGCTGCCCCCATCCCCCACTGTGCAGTCGGCGCCCCTCACACCCCGCTGCCCCCTCCGCGCTTGGAGGCCCCAGGGTCTCCGTGGCAGGCTCTGGGTCCAGTGCAGGAGGGTGGCCTCCGGAGCTAAGTGAACAGAGCAGAGTTGGTACCTTTAACCTGGCCTCTGAGTGGTATGGGATTTGATAGTGGTGCAAGAAGAGTGGATAATGGTGGCCCAACATCTGGAAGAGAAGTACACAGGAAGGCGTGAGCGTTAGGGGCCGTGTTGGCTGGGCCAGTGAGCTGCAGAGGAGACAGCTGCCTACCTGACCAAGGGAGACCCCGTCACAAGAAGCATGCTGCATGAACCCTTACAGACCAGAACACTCTTTCCACATACACAGCCCCAGCAGGACGGTGTCTCCTACAGGGGGGCCATACAATTAAAAGTGTGCTGACTTCAGGCTGCTGAGCAAGACTGAGTACAACAGGCACAAAGGAGCTTCCTGTCTCCCAGCCTCCCCCCACCCCCCAGGGCCATCGTGAAAGCCCCTCCCAACACATGATGTATTGGACAAGTCTTGCAGGAGAGTGGTGTTTTCCCTTAGGGCTGGTCTTAGGGCATGAGGCCTCATAAGCTTGCCCAAGCAGTCAGCTGCAGGTGGGCTGGCTGGAGTTGGTGGCCCTCCTGGTTAGTCTCCATGGTGCTGAAAGGACCCTTGAGAAGACCTAAGTGCAGCTTCCATACCACCAGCAGCCTCGCACACACCGCCCCATGGACCCGCTCCACGTGCTCCAAGGCTGACCACACCACACTGTCGGAGACCCAGATGCAGGCTGCAGACCCTCTGAGACAGTTACCTTTCATGAAGAAGCGGCAGGTGGGACGAGGCCTCACCTTCCGGTCACTGGGGTCCTTGACCTCCCCTTCTTCCAAATCATCATCCTGAAAGAGAAGAGACCGTGAGAGGGGCATGGCCAACAGAGCCCATGCAGGGGCTGAGGGGAGCCCCCAAACACCACTGCTCTCTGCATCTTGGTACTCACATCTGGATACCTCTTCACCGGCAAAATGGGAAGAATCCCAAAGCCGCCTCACATAAGGAAACCAAGAGTAACCCAAGGAGCTTCCTAAGGGCAGCCTTTGATGGGTCTCTCTCCAACAGTAAGACTCTAGGGTTTAAGACTTTTTGTAAATTTAAAATCACAGAATAAAAACTTTAAATGGTCTGCGATTAAACATGTCACTTCGTCATTTCACAGCTGGGGAGGTGGGAGGAGGGCAGTCCAACCACAAGGCCGCAGCCAACTCTCAGGAGACAGCCAACCTGGCTCTTGCTCCCAGGGTTTAAACGCTGAGGGGCGGCTCTGGGCTGAGACCCGGAATCACTGCTCTGTGAGCTCCCTAGGCCACTACCCAGGGCCCCAGCACAACCAACTAGGAGTAGATGATGCCTCGTGGGTGTCCCTAACCCACACCTCTGGCATGTCCAGGGCACATCAAGCTCCCTGTGTCGAAAGCAGACCACTCCTCTCACAAACCTGCCCTCCCATGTCCCCAGGGCACACCAGTCAGGGACCCAGGTGAGTCTGGTCTCTCCCCCTGACCAAGTTCCCACCTAGCCTTGCTAGTGGCGAAAATGGCTCTGTTCAAAGTACCCCCTTTCAAACCCCACAGCTGGCCCTGCCCCTCCAGATGGGCTCTCGGAGCCCCACTTGGCACTGGCCGCTCCACAGGACAGCGAGTCAGTCTGCCCGCTCAGCAGAGCCTCAGTGGCCTGAGCAGTGTCCACCTCACTAGGCAAGGCCCATAGATGCTTGAGTGAAGAGATGCGGAAATCAAACCCCAGGCCTGAGATAGCATCATATGTTTCAGAACTGAGATAGCTGCATGATTTCCAGCTTCCTACTTGGTTAAGAAACACCCAGAGCTTTCTATCCGGGGAGTGTGTTTGTCTCCATGCTGACGTCTGTGCAGTGTTCTCCTCTGGCTGTGAGCTCCAGCCTGCTCTTTTCCTACCATCTTTGCAGCAAAAAGGAAAACCAACCCGACTGCCAGCAAGTTGATTCTGACTCAGCGACCCTGTGTAGGATTTCTAAGACTGCAGATCTTTATTGAAGTGGAGTCTCATCTTTCTTTTGTACAATGGCTGGTGGGTTTGAACCACTGACCCGGCAGCTAGCAGCCCAGTATCTAACTCAAGAGCCATCAGGGCTGTGTGATGACGGTAGGACAGCCTCACTGTGACGTGTGACGTCGGTGCAGAATGAAGCTGAGCATGCTACCCCTTGTTCCAATAAGGGGCAGGAGCTCGTGAGGCCAGGAGCGTGGAGTGTCACTTTCAGGAAGCAGGGCGCCTTTCCAGGCAGAGGTGCAGCTGTGTGGCATGACGACATCGTGTGTAACCAACCACAGGGAGGCCGGAACAGCAGGCAACCAACTGAAAACAGCATCTATGCACTGGTCGGTCATGCGTCCACTGGGTGGTGGTGGTATGAAGTGCCATCGAGTCAGTTCCAACTCGTAGCACCCCTGTAGGTTTCTGAGCAGCTGCTGGGTGTAAAGTGACCTGTGGCTGCCAGTTCTGTGCGGATCCCAGTGCCACCCTAGCTGTAGCCCCCGGACATCACTCAAGGACAGATGACAAGGCATTTCATGTCGAGAGCCAGGCGCAAATGCTGTCACCTGAGGCTGAGGCCTCCCTGTTACCCACACATGGAGACCTGGATCCAAGACGACAGTTGACAGAATCTGGGTAAGGGTGAGTGGGCAGGTCAGAGGCACACGGCTGGTTCGACAGGAAGAGCAGAAGCACGCAGGGTGGGGGGAAGAGCAGCAGTGTCTAGCATGGCAGAGTGCTGAGTGAGTGGGCAGGACCCTCTTCTGTGCACAGTGCCTGATGTGACCTGATGAAGCTTGATGCAAAGCTGAAGCAGCTATACCCTGTAGCTTCACCTCCTCTGGCACATTCATGGCAAACGCACACCTGGGTCCGAGGCACCAAGTGGACTTCACAGAAATCCATACACCAGAGAGTTTCAGAACGTCCAGGGACAATGCCATCATCTTTTTCACACACACTTGCCATGTGGTCATGTACTCCATTTCAGTCCCATCATGGCTGTCCACTCCATCTGAGCCCTAGCTGGTCATCGTGGTGCAGAGTGGCCGTCTGCTCCACCTGAGCCCAGGCTTCCTCTGTGGAATGAGCGCTTCTTCTTCGTGGGGCTGCTGGGGAGATAACCGAGAGGCTGGCTGCACAGTTTCACGCCTGGCGCCTTACATAAAACGCCAGCAAGAAATGTCGGAAACAAGAGCTGTTCTAACAGACAAGGCCTCAGACATAAAACATCAAAATCCAATTTGTTCTGTGTAACAGAACAGGTGATTTTTACATCTTTGTTCAAGTTTTCATTTTTAAAAGACAAGGATGTTCTTCAGAAACTGAGGCCTTGGCAACAAGGCTGAGGCGAAGACAGAGTCAGCATGTGGCAATGCTGTACCACAGGAAACAGACAGCCCAGAGAGTAAGACACCGAGCTGGAGTCTGGGCCCACCACCAGCTCCCGCAGCTACAAAATCAGGAGAACAACAGTGCTCTGTTATGCTTCCCCAAAACCCTTGTGGCCAGACTTGTTTTGTAATTCAGAAATACTGTGATTTTAGAAAAACAACATCCACTAACTGTCCTCAAGTCGATTCCGATTCTGACTCAGAACAATATTATAGACAGAGAAGAGCTCCACAGGTTCCCAAGGCCGTAATCCTTACAGAGGCGTAGGCCTTGAGCGTTCTTCCATGCAGTGGCGGGTGGGTTTGAACTGCTGATCTTTGGGTTAACAGCTGAGGGCTTTACCACTGCACCCCCAGAGCCCCTAAAAAGGCAACACAGTGGAGTTGAGTCAGCACCGCGGGAAGGGAGTGTGCGCCTGCCCACACCGTGTGGGGTTGCGAGATGAGTCCTTGGCTTCCTGGATCTCACACGGTGAGTATGGGGTCTCTAGCACTCAGGCCTGCTCTCGCCCGAGCACCGGTGAACCGCTGTGAGAATGGATGCACATGGAGCCCTTCCAAAGAAGCAACTCGGAGCCCTGAGTATGGGATAGTCCAACATGAGCCATCAAAACGCTCCCGAGTATTCTGGAGGTGGGCAGTGAGCTACCAAAGACTGTCAAGGGGCCACAGTGGCCTCCCCGAGTGGTACACAGCCCCACTAATGACTGGGGGCCCCAAGAATTGCCTCAGGTCCTGTGGAGCCCATAACAAGAGCTATGTAAAAAGAACCAAGCCACAGACACGGGGCACGCTGCCCAGGCCAGCAGGTGGCCTCCTCTGTGCAGGCCAGTTCCAGGAGGGACTTGCATACTTGCACAGACGGGGTATCACCAATCTCTCACTAAACCCAGAGGGAGGAATGGCCGGGTGAGACACTGGGGACAAGGAAGGAGCGTCAGCTGCAGCAGTGCACTCTCCTGAAACGGCTTTGCGGAGTCAGCCTGTGTGTGTGCCCTCCTCCACAGGAGCGGCCTGGCTGGCCCCCATCACAAGGCAGCCCCCCAGCGCTATGAAAATCTGGCCCAGAAAGGTTTCTACCACAGGATGTTTCCACAGCCCACCACAAACACAAAGGTAATTAATTAATTCAGGGCCTAAGTTATATTTACAAAAAAGGATTTCGTGGTTTATGATACAAACTGATGTTACCACCGAGGACACCATACTGACTGGGGGGAGGAGCTGTGGGGGGAAAGGAACTGAGGGGGAGAGGAGTGTTGGTGGGGAGAGGAGTGTTGGGGGGGAGACAGTTGTGGGGAGGAGAGAGAGGAGTTAGGAAGCAGGGTGGAGCTGTGGCGGCAGGTACAGCCCCGTCATTTATCATTTCACTGGAGCTAAAACCTAAAGGGAAAAAGGCAGGCCAAGACACCCTGACAAGCTCCAGTCTAGTGAACCAGGAGGATGATGAAGCGAGCAGGTTTCGAGACTTTTCCACCATCAAGGGAGACACACCGGGGGTGAGAGTTGTCACCAGTGACGATCCTGCCGGGGGGGGGGGGGGGGGGGGGAAGCTGCTCTCACAGGTACCTGAGACTGAGCTCCTCACGGAAACACACCGCTACACCTACCTCCCCCTACGGCCCCAACTCTGGGTCACCAGCTAAGCACTTTACTACAGTCCTCAGAGCTCCTTTCTGGAATGTTACTGTCCACTAAGGAGCCCAGGTGGGATGAGGCGCTGGGTGACTAACTGCAAGGTCAGTGGCTCAGAGCCCAGCAGCTACTCAGGAAGATAAGGCTGCCAGCTCCTGTCGGAGGGCCTCGGCTGTTCTGTGCGGAGCTGGTGTGTGCGGAGCATCAGCACAACAGCAGTGCGTCTGGTTCTGGGGTCTGCACTGTCCACTGAAAATCAGCTCTGCCCAGGCCCAGGGACTCCCATTGAGCGAGTGAGGCAAGGCCCCCAGCCAGATCCTACAGGGGGAGCCCTCACTGGTGTCCTTCCTGGAAACACGAAGGCCACATCAACAGCACCTACTACGAGTGCGCATGTGTCCCAGGTCCCCCCACTCCGCTCCCCTTCGGGCCCCAGCACACTCACGTCTATCTCCCCGTCATCTATCTCCCCGTCATCATCCTCTTTCTTTCTCTCCTTCACAGCCTCCAGCGGCTCTTTCCCGGCCTCATTTGTGGCACCTGCCGTCTCCTCTTCTTCCGGGGCCCCTTCCCCCTTGTCCTCGTCACCCTCGGCTCCTGGCCGATCAGCCCCGTCCTCCTGGGCAGTGGGCGCGGGTTCCTCAGGGACCTCCTCATCATAATCAAGTTCATGCTCGTCCAGCTCCCGGGTGACGGAGGACACCTCGTCCCCGAGATCACTCGTCCGCTCCTCCTCTGGCCTGCCCCCTTCCTCCTCACACGGGGGGCTCGCAGGGTCCCCACTCAGCTCGTTGGCCTCTGAGTCTGGATCCTGAGAGCGGGGCTCACTGGCTGGACCGTCCTCATCGGAGGGCTCTTCCTCTCCCTGGTTCAGTCCCTGGGCGGCGTGCTCCTCTTCCTCGGCATCAGACGCCCTCCCCCCAGTGCCATCTAGGTCCTGCTCAGATCCACTCTCCCTCAAGATGTCATCGTCCGAAAACCCCTGCTGCTGTTCCTCTGGGTCCTCTGGAGAGCATGGACCCCGTTCAGGGCTCTCGGCCACATCCATCGGAACCCACGGTTCTAAGGGACAGAGGTAAGAAAGGTTCAGTGATCTGCAAACAGAGCGGGGTCCACCCACCCGCCCACAGCCCACGCTCCTGACCTGAGAGGGAGAACCAGAACCCCCACTCTGCTGGCTCCGGACCCCACGCTGCAGACCCCTGGGGGAAAAGACAGGCAGTTAAACCAACCTGGCCCCCCAAGACTCTACTCAGCTAAGTGTGAGAGTATAACCCTTTCTCCTCACAGCCCACGAAGTGACCAGTAGGCTGTGCACAGCACAGGACACTGGCTCCTGTTCTGAAACTCAAGTGGAGCGAGGCCCAGGGGGTACCCTGACTGATGGAGTACGTCGGGCCACTTGTCTAGCGTTGTGCTGAGGGCTCTCAGGCCGACCAGGCTGGGCTGTGTGGTTCCTATCAACACCTGCCCTCTGACCGGCTCCATCAGAAGCAGCAGCTGTGAGCTGAGCACAAGACGCCGAGCTCTCACCACAGCCCAGCTGCACGTGAGGCTCCACGTGCTCAGGGTGAGACCAGAAGCTGTACACTGTCCGCTGTCCGGTGGTGTGTCCAGGTGGAAGACTGAGCACATCGTGGTTCAAGACTCCACCCTCAGTGGGACTCGTCTGATTTTAGTTCTGATGGCACAGCCTCTGGCTTTCCCACCTCAAGCTCCTCTGTGCTCCTTTTGTTTTCAACACAGACCAACAAAGTGAGGTGAGGGTGGAAAACCTGTTCATCCCAGTTCAACCACCAGCTGAGAATTTGCCTCTCCAGTTCAGGTAAACTGAATCGGAAGCTACAACAGCTTCTGACTCGGGATATCTGGGCTGGAGAGGCAAATTCTAAGGAGGGAGTCAAATCATTCTAGGAACAATTGGTCATCTTCTGTGCCCACCTTTACCAGAGTTCCTGCTACAACGTACGTCCAAGCTCTTCTCCATCAAAGGGTAGTGGTGGTGGTGACAAGCCGTGGAGTCGGTTCCGACTCAATAGCAACCCTACACAGGGTTTCCGAGGCTGTAAATCTTTACAGGAGCAGAACACCTCATCTTTCTCCTGCGGAACAGCTGGTAGTTTCAAACTGCTGACCCTGAGGTTAGCAGCCTGATTCATAACCACTACGCTTCCAGAGCTCCTTATCAAAGGGTAGAGGAGGACCTTTTCAGGTGTGGTGCTGTGGGTTAATGCGCCAGACTGCAAAACCGTTTGAACGACAAGGTCGGTGGTAGAAGCTCACCAATCGCTCCTTGTAAACTCTATCCAGGGCCGCGAGGGCTTAGAACCGACTCGATGGCACAATAACAACAGGGGTAACTTATCTGCAAGGGGAGCCAGGAGGCAGGCTGCAAATCATAACCTGAAACCTGACAAATTCGGATTCTCACATTTTATAGTCTAATGGCAGCCTTGGAAACAAATGCCTCTTAAATTAATAAAATGTTATGCAAACTCAATGTGCTCCAGGCTAGCTGTGAATCCTACCATTGATACTTTGCAGAAACCACCTGCAATACATCAGGCCAGCAGGTGCAGATCGGAGTCCCTAACTGGGTCTTTAAGTCAAATCTGTACTGAAGACAAACAAGGTGCACATGATTCTTATTTGGGCTTACAGGAGTGCAGCCTTCTCAGTGAATTCAAACATGCACGGCTGCACGCAGAGGCGATTGTGATGAAACCTTTGTTGTGAGCAAGGGTTTGGTGCAACCACTTAAAAAAATGTGTCAAGTCTGCCTGCGTGGGTCCCTAAGCAGAACCTTCGCATACTCTGCAGTCTGGCGATAAGCTGTTCTGGGGCCCAGGGGCTCGTGATTGTTGAGTGCTACTTGAGTGGGCTCTAACTCACAGCCATCCTGTGCAGGTTTTCTGAGGAGTAGCTGGTGGGTTTGAACCACCGACCGTGTGTTTCAGTCCAGTGCTGATCCTACAGCGCCACACCAGGGGTTGTTGCGGTGGAGTGCCATGGAGTCGGTTCCGACCCACAGGAACGCTCTATAGGGTTTCTGAGGAGTGGCTGGTGAGCTGGGTTCTGACTCCTCATAGCAGCCCTATGCACAACACTGCTCTTTCCTGTGCCGTCAGAACGGGGTCCAACCAAGCACCTTCTGATACTACGATGTGGAAGCTAAGTGCCGTGGAGTCGGTTCCGACTCATAGCAGCCTTATAAAGGACTTCTGAGGAGTGGCTGGTGAGTTTGATCTGCCGACGTTGTGGTTCAAACCGACTTTTTGGTCCAGTGCTAACTGAAAAGCTCTACTCTCAGAAACCTGAAGTTGTATTTTAATAAACAGAAACAAAATAAAGAACACCCAACCTTAAGGAAGTGAACTAACGTCGGAAGCACGCAGGGAGGGGATTGGTCTACAAACATGTCGCTTTCTTTGTAGGGCACCAAGGGAGGCACAGACAGCTTGCATTTGTAAGGAGAACTTGAATCAGCTAGTCTACTGGTGTGGGCTTCAGGATCTTGGACAGGTTACGTCCCTTTATAGACCACTACTGTCATCTCTTGAGAGCCAGGCTGGCTCTCTGGTGCTCCACACTTTCCTCTGTACACCGGGTGGCTGAATGGAGCGTGACGGGAACCACACTCTGGTCAGAGTTGGTGCCAGACTCTGGGAGCAGTTGAGACTAATCCACTCACACACACACTGCATGGCCTGATTAGTAAAACCATGTCTTCAATACGACCAGCAACTGCCACGGTTTCCTGAGAGACTACTCTACTCTGGCCACCTGACTGATTTCTCTCAGCTCACATGCTGTTACGGAAAGCCCAAGGTCACAGAACGGGCGAGTGGGCATGCTGAGATGGCAGAGGTCAGCTCTGAAAGCCAGAGTGCCCACAGTATGTAAACGGAAGCACCCACATCCCCACCTTTAACCGCTGTTTTCAGAGGAAGATGTGGCCCAAGTTCCAAATGGACTTTCTAAGTTCTTTAGGGGAACATAACCAACACATCTGTGTTAAAAGTAGTGTAGCCAGTGTACTCCTTGGAGGCCAGGATGGCCAAACTTCGTCTCTCATATTTCGGACATATTGTCAGGAGGGACCAGTCACTGGAGAAGGATATCATGTTTGGTAAGGTGGAGGGTCAGAGGAAAAGAGGAAAACCCCCATTGAGATGGATTGGCTAAATGGCAGCATCAATTGGCTCAAGCGTGGCCACACTGTGAGGTTTGCCAGAGACTGGGCAGTTTTCCATTCTGCTGTGCATAAGGTTGCTATGAGTCGGTACCGACTCGATGGCACCTAACCACCAACCACCACCACCACCACCCATGCACAGATTGGGACCATCTTCTATTAAGCCCGCAGGCTTTCCTGCCTCCCTTGTCAGGTTGTGTGCTGTTCCATCTACACTCCCACCTTAGCCCTTCTGGAACTAAAGACGGGCATTGTAATCCAGGGGAAAAGCCACCATATGTTCCATCCAGACTAGCAGGCAATGATGGGGTGGGGGTAGGGGTAAAAAGAGTTTGGGGAAAGATGGTAAAAGATGGATTCCTAAACTTCTTGACAGTCACAGTCTCCCCATTCCCCTTCCACCCCCGGCCAAAATAGGGATGATTTACTTTATGATTTTAAACTTGTTCATGGGCCCTAAACCAAACATGAATCCAGTTAGGAGAAACCCTTCAGAGTCTGCTGATCTCCAACCTCAGGAGCAGTCTCCAGTGCTCACAAGCAGCGCCACTACCCTTGAAAGGGCAGCTTCGCTCTTCACATGGTGACACGGAACCTTCCAGGGATCCGCTCAAAAACCTGGATGTACACCACTCTACCTGGCACTGCGGGAGTAGAGAAAGCTGCCCTATACGTATGTTACTACGTAGTCACACTTCCTAGGCTGCACCGCATTTGTTTGTTTGCAGGACTCCCACCACCATGAGGTGGCTGAGTGGGCGGCTCTGACTCCCGTGAGCCATCACCTGACTCAGTGTGCAGACAGGACTGAAAAGCAGTACAATTACGGACGACAACAGGAGCTGTGCAGGCACACAGCCACCCCTTAGCCCCGAAAAGCTGACATTTCATTAGGAAACCAACTGGATTTCAACACCTGAGGCTACACACCCATCCGTGAACACCTTTCAGATGCCAACAAGTCCACATGTTTAGTAGAAGCAACTGAGCTACCCCACGTGGGAGGGAAGAGCAGGAATGTCCCCCGTCCCAGTGTCGTGGTTTGAGAAGATGTCATTATGGTACACAGCTGAGGGGGTACTCTATGTGAGGGTGCCAGGAAGGAGTGGCTGCTGTCAAGTGTAGTCAGCGAAGTAGGGTCCTCTAGATAAGTCTTCATCGACCACCATGATCAAACTCACTCTGGGCTTACATGACCACCCAGTGGTGGTGGGCTTATGGCAAGGCGAAGCACAAATTGTCTGTCTTTTGACCCACAAGACAGTGAACCTGCTCAGGTGGGCTGACATGTCATTTGGCAGGCAGCGTGAATAAATGCATAAAGGACAAAACCTCATGACTTAAGAAAGTACCTGCTTCATATTGGGAAAATGAAATACTGCCTGATTTTCAGAAGACTAGACCAGAAATCCGGGAGAAAGATGAGGCTTTCTACTCGCGTATCGATGTATACCCTCGGAAACCCTGTACAGGGTCGCTATGGGTCGGAACCGACTCGACGGCACTTAAGAACAACTAGACCAGAAAGCAGCCACAGGAAGGGAGTGGTCTCCTTTCCCAGCAAGCTACTCGGGAGGTCATGCACCCACCCCTAGGGCATTGCTCAAGTGCAGAGCACATGGCGACTTCTCCTGCACAGGGTCTTCAGAGCTGTCGACCTCTTCACTGGCAGCACACCTCCCCCCGCCCCCCACTGAAGAAGGATGACTTTTGAGAAACAACCAGTTACCCAGAGCCTGGTCTGGGGAGTGAGATGAGCCCCAGGGGTCAGCTTACTGACAACTACCAACTTCCTCATATGGCTTCTGTGTGGCAGCTTCAGAGTGTTTGTGAAAAATAGAACGAAAAGATAA